TTTTGCATGCAAAATTTTGAGAACCTAGGCTACAAAATGATATAAGTTATTTGTGTTTTTATTGTGTGCGTTTTTGCGCAATTTTTGTTTAAAAATTCGCCCGACTTTTGTCTAGTGAGTGTATATATTTATATATAAAAATGTCGATTGGAGAATATACCTGCTCTTTACTTTTATATTCTGGTGAAGTCTGTGGACGTACTTGCAGGCGTCCTGATAGGTGTTGTTTACATAAAAATGCTATAGACCGTGTTCATTGTACTGATTGTGTAAAACCTACTAAATCTGATTCTAATCGTTGTCCTGATCATATTAGAGGTTATTATGTTTCAAAGTATTTTCAGAAACATCTTAAGAAAAAAAACGTAATATGATGTATTTTCCAGAATGATCTACTATTTATTTTTAAATATGACGCAAATTGTGGTACGATGGAAATTCAAACCAATCGTATCTTGAAATTTTGCTATCAAAAAGTACGATGCAAATTTGAAATCTTCGTTATCCAAATGTAATTTAAATCAAATGTAGCAATACAAAAAAATGCTATATCGTTTTTGAACTTTTTGGATTTTATAAACCAAATCCTGTATATCTAATCTATAAATTTTTTTGCTACCATCTATAAATTTTGGTACCCTCATCTTAGCTTTCAAATTGTTTTAAAAAAGTAAAATAAACACTATTATTCCTGTACTCCAAATCGTTTTAAAAAAGTAAAATCAAATGTTACGACGGAAATTTAAATCAATCGTAGTTCATGGTACCCTTGTAAAAAAAAGTATGACTTACGTTCCAAATTGCTAAAAAAAGTCAAAATCAACGTAAATATAAAAAGTACGACGGAAATTTAAACCAATCGTAGTTCAAGGTACGACGCAAATGAAAACCAATCGTACTTCAAGGTACGAAGCAAATCAATTTTTGGATTACCTCAAATTTTTTAAAATAACCTAGAATTTCTCAAAATCGAATTTGGAGCTATTGTATCAAAAAGTACGACGCAGGTACCAAAAAAAGTGCGCCAGAACATACATTTTTCCCCTACTATTTACTTTAATCTTCGGAGATATATGGATTGATCGTGACAGATTTGTCACGGTTTTTGAAGTTATATGATCTATTATATTTTGAATCTGAGCATTGGTTAGTCCAGAAATACTGCTTGCGCTATATGTGATCTATCTGATTTTACCAATGCCCACCCCCTTTCCCCAAATAATTTAAGAATTTTCCGGGCTCTCTGAGTTTTTTTACGTAAATTTGCATCTGTGATGCGAGGTAGAAAAGGTTTCATTTCCTTATATATTTTTGTTCGTGCTGTTTTATCCTTAATACTATCGTTAGCTATAAGACTTTTGACTCTGTTTTCGAATTCAAGGGAATAATAATACCAACACAAGATTTCTTCTTGGCCTTTTTTAATCGCTTTATCAAACAAATATGATAAACTTTCTGCGGATCCTGGAATTAAGTTTTCAATATTCTGAATACAAGGTTTATTAATTTCATCATCCGAGGATGTGGAATTACTTTGGCCATCTACTTCGTATTGATTCTGGGCCAATTCTTGAATTAGACCTTGTTCTATGATTTGACTTGTGTCAACCATGTCAATTTCGTCATCCTACTCCAATCCTGATACTTTGGAGGTATTTGTATATACATGGTCTGATCGTGACAAATTTGTCACGGTTTCCTCAAGGCTTTCCGAATTTTCTGAAATCACATGACTTTGATAGTCTTTCTCTATAGAGAAAGCGATTTTTGTATTATGATTAACTTGCGGTTGTGACTCCATATCTCTGGATGTAATTTCATGAAATTGCGATAAGTCTTGGGCTTGGTTTCCAGCTAATTCGCTGAAGCCTTTTCTCTCTGTTCCTTTCTCTTATCTCATTACTAACCTTTTCCTTATACTTCGAACCCAGGAATTCATCAACCTCTTTATATTCTGGCGATATGGGCGAGTTGGATGGACGGGTATTAGTATTAGAAGAAATATCGTTTTGTAACTGCTTCTGTTCCAATTTCGCAACTCTAGCCTTGAGCTCGGTATTTTCTTCTGCAGTCTGTTCCAATTTCGCGACTCTGGCCTTAAGCTCGGCATTTTCTTTGGTGGTCTGTTCTAACCCCACGATTCTGGCCTCGACTTCTTCTTTATCTTGTTTTAACTTTGTATTCTCGGCCTTAACCTCAGCATTCTCCCTTCTAAGCCCAGCAATCGTGGCAATGAGTTGAGAATTTAATTCTTGCAACGAATCGATTTTTGATTGTGTGTTTGACATTATTTTATATAGAACGCACATTCATTCAAAATCTTTTTATTGTGCAAATATCGGCAAAGTACCGAAGCTAATTAAATTCACGTGATTAAAATTTGCCGGACCGGCCGGTCTCGGAAAAATGCCTACCTTTTTTTCTCTCAAGCTTGAAAAAAGATATATAGCTAATGAATATCTCTGGCTTCGAATATATATGCAAAAAGGCGGGATATATATCAGCAGTTACAAGATATAATTCACGTGGGAAGAGATTGATAATCGGTATACCCATATATACATACGACGATCACCCGATCATGTGTCGTTCTATATCTGTGCATGATCTATTTCGGGATGTCCTACAAGCATATGTGACTATATAAAGGATGTGCAAGATCATGTGCCGATAAATAACGCGTGATAATCAGACTTTGCTCTCCTCCGTATTATACGGAAATCATTTCCATGATATTAGATTTATTTTTTATTGTTATCACAAAATGTTATGATATGCGAGAAATGTTACATTCCAAATCTATTCCAAGTATGAGAATAAATCAGATCGTTGCGATGATGACTCAGGACACGGGGATGATGGATATGATTTCTCGGTATATGCTTCTGCACATACTTTAGCCTTCTTCGGAGTTGATAAACACGGAGATATTCGGTCCTCATTTTTGTCTAGAGATCGTTTTCGAAACCCGGCCCTTTTAAATGATTTGACTGTTTGTTTTTTTGCTTGAACCGTCTTTATTATCTCTTGAACCACGGCCTAACATTCATAAACACATCAGCTTATATTAGTACAGATATATAATCGTTAGGTAAAAAGCATGAATCTAACTAACCTTTATGATCAGAACAGATGCGAGAATTGTGAGGATGCAAGGAAAATTTTCTGTCTTATCCGGAACTTCCATTATTTCACCACGTTGCACCCTACAGATGTAGCCTTTTGGGTTGTCCAGGCAGACTATCATAATCATCAAACCTATAAAATTATATTAGCTAACAGTGAGAACCTGATGGATTCTTAAAGACAACATACCAGCGTGAATTATTCCAACCGTTTGAATTTTTGCACGACTTTCTTCATCCCAAACTGCCTTCTCTATCAATTTTACTAACATATCCTTAAGTGTCTTAGGTAGCTTTAATCCCGTCTCCTTGAGAAACTTCGTTACATTTTTATCCACCCAACTTTTTCCGGCTTCCCCAGCTCCGAACTCATCTCTATCGCCATTACTAATAGATCTCAAGATCCAATCAATCCTGCAACCCATTTTCCGCCGTTCTCCTGACAGTCTTTTTATATTTTTTCGTGATGCCGATGCCAAGCTTGTACTTTCCCCTCTAAATTGTTAAAAGAAACCTGTTAGATATATCAAAGCAAACTATATTTTTTTTAGAAAGTTACCTGACGACGGATATCGCATTTACATCTCCAAAGGCTTGATCGAAGACCGCGTTCCACACGTGGCAATTAAACCAAGCTTCAAGATTTGCGTCTTTCAAGCTTCCGCTTTGAATTTCTCTCACTCTATAAAAACAGATTTAGTCAATTCACCATTGATGCATCCAAAGGACTATAATAATATCTACACCATGTGCAAGCCACAGAAATACTTACAATGAATATAAAGCATATATTATGTAATCCTTATCACGATCTTTTTCATGATCATAATTATCGTCAAACATCATTTCCTTTATGAGCTTTCGAATCTCCTTCAAGCTCGTCTACAAAAGGAAAAGAGATTGATAAATTGTCGCGGTACATATATCCTTGTCAGTAACATATAAATGAAGTATTTACCTTGCCAGCGAATTTGTTTAGAAATCCAGTGATTTCTTCTGAGAGCTTGGGTACCTGTGGGCCAGGGGCACAATCAATTTCATCTAGTTCTGCCTTGCTGAAATGCAGGCGGATTATCCCGTCATCGACATCCAAAATAAAGGAATGAACGGCACTTGGAAATAAAAACGGCAATTTAGTACAATTTTGTTTTCCATAATACAGTTACCGAAAATCCACTTATATAAACACTGACTGCTCAAATCTTAACTTCTTCCCCAATTCGAATAATTCTTCCTCGACATATTTTCCAGTTGAAAGTCTCCACATTTTCTCCTTTTTCATACCATTAAATGTCTGCTCAATCATCTGTCGGTGTTCCTCAATGAGGGGGAACGAACCCGTCTACGTGGTTATGTGTTAATTTTGTCAAATATCAAGAATTAAAATTTACGAAAAAACTTACCTTTTTATTTTCTTCATTATCTTTGTTGTAATCGTCTTCAGACAAATTGGAGGCTAATTCATAAGAATCATCTACTTTTTTTCCAGTTCTCGTTCGACGTTGATTTTTTTGGGATTGGTATATTTGATGTTCGGGAGTTCGTGGTGGTTCATTATTTACTTTTTCGATTTGGAGATGCCGTTTATTTATAATGGAAACAATTTCATCGGAATTGGAGAACCTTGCTTCATTAAGAACTTTGACGCCTTCTATTATATAATTTTTCCCGGCATTTCTCTATTTTTGGCAGGGTTAAATAGAGATGGAACATAGTTAGTATCAATAAAGAATTATTTTTTGATAATAGTTCTGTGTTAAAAAATACTAATATTATAATGCCACAAATTATACTAACCTTTTCACGTTCAAGAATAATATCTTGAAAAAATGATTTCATTTGCTGACGTTTATTATCTTTACCCTGTTAACGAATCGCACCGAAAACTTCAGCAAAACCTCTGGAACGTACTATATCATAAAATATAACTACAACCCAGAAGTGCATCATAATCATCACTTGGGCACACGAATCGCAATGAGAGAGCACCGAAAACTTCAGCAAAACCACTGGATCGTACTATATATCATAAAATATAACTACAACCCAGAAGCGCATCATACTCATCACTTGGGCACTGAAAACTTCAGTAAAACCTCTGGATCGTACTGTATCATAAGATGTAACTACAACCCAGAAGCGCCCTTACACCTGATGGGTGTTTTTCTATAGTGAGTTTCAAAATATTTTAGAACAGCTAAGAAATCCAATAAAGAGGATCAGTTTATCACCGAGAATAAGTCTGCAAAATTCTAATGCTTAACGAGCTTACCGTTGTTTCCAACATATGATTCAGTCATTGTTTTTGGGTATGTTCTAAAAACTGAAAAATTTTTTTTAGTATACACCACGAGGATTTATGATATGGCAAACGTAACAATCAGCAGGTCATACGACTACATCATGCATGCAGAAGTTCCATAACCTTCGATTTTATTCTGTGGTATGTGATATGTATTACCTAGAGGTAAGTAAAATAAATGGGGGGACAACTCGATGTTACACATATAGATCTTGTGAATTCAAAACTGTCACGCCTTAAAAATTAAAAATGATGCGCATTTCATAGTAAAAAATCAAACTTTACATATAAAACTTTA